GGTCTCGGGCGTTAGTCTCCGCCCATCTGGAATGCTTTTATTTGACATGTATTTAAGAAGATGATCTTTTCATTCATGAACCATCAGGGACACAATGTTGCAACCCGCTGCCACGCAGTATTTCAGCGGGTACAGGCTCTGATGAGTTCAATACGCTCTACAGGTCGATACAATGGACACCAATGGGATCGCGGAGCCTGGCTTGATAACAAGAGGATTCTGTTCCCGTATATTCAGAAGGAATATGCTAGACACAGGGAGAGGGTGGGATGACATGTTATTTGGGTCGTAAGAGTGCCCAGTGGAGTGGAAACAAGTGACGGGTTTGAAGGATGAAATAAGTGTAGGAGCATACACTGTTTGAGACCAAGTGTGAAAAGGCAGCCCGTTGACTTGATTGCTGCGTTATGTAGGGTTCTCACTGAGACTAATAAATACTTGCTGCTTGGGCGGTTTTCGTAACAAATCAGCCATGGGAACAACCATGCTTGTGCTTGAACCTCAGCATCTGTAATCTGTTTCCACCATGACATCTTTGCGGCTAGGCTTTTGACCAGAGGAATGAGGTTCTTCCCAATACCTGTGCCATCAGCATGATGCGCGCACCAGATATTTGGCCAGCTGCGTGAGAATGAAGAGGACGCGAGAAACGACATACTTTGAGAGATTCAGAAATTTGGGGATATCATGTTCGAGGTAGACAGAAGCTTAGCCAGCATCTTACCGCGTCGGAAGCGAGAACTTACCTCGGCGCATTGTATTTTGTCAGAAATCCACTACTTTTCCGCCGTCTCACAACATCAACAACCACCTAGTACTTTTGACGACAAGCCACAAGGGCCTATGGATTTGAAGATGAGTTATGACAGTTGGCTTCTTTGGCCTTCCGACTTGGATAAGGTCCAGTGTAATGATTGCGGATCCCAGCCGCCGAAATAACGTCAAACCGAAAGAATCATGCTCGCATGATATTTTGCGGTGAGCCTGGTAGTGGATGCCGTTATATTGTTGCCTGGTGGTATCCACTGTCCCAAACTTTGCGATGATGGGTATATGGAATTCAGCTTCATTAGGGGAAGCAACGTACAAGAGCATAAATCAACAGCATAGATGCTAGGTTATGACAACGTTTTCTCAGGTACTCAGCTGCGACACATGTCAACCGAAAGAAAACATATTATGCATAAAGTCTGTAGACGTTATAGATGTAACCGCACATGCGGTACCCGCTGATTAGGCAGAAGCCGAGAACCGAAGTCCCAAAGCCCTGCAGGGCTGTTCCGCTTCCGGCCCAGGCCGAAGTGGCATGCTGGCCGGACGTCTTGGACTAAATGGATAGCAGCCCGTTCATTCCAACTCGTTCCGATATGCCCATTCAATACTCAACCCAGATTAGCAGCCGCTGATTGGACACACTCGCACATTTAGAGTTATGATGTCCTACAGGGCTACCATGCTCGTCGGCTGACGTGAGGGACTGGAGTGGGTCGGCCCGCTCAACTTGATCCTTCAAGCGGACGAATACGAACTGTTCAGTCAACAACGTACATAGTCCGAGCTGTGAAGACGGATATTGTGGATAGACTCCAGTGTGGTTAATGGAGTTTTCTTCGCCAAAGTCCCTTTTGAATGTTGTCTGAATCTAACAGAATCGGGAATCTCGTATGTGCTCACTTGAATGGGAAGTAGTTAAATATGCACTCGTGTCGCTCATCAGGTTGTAGTTCTTCTCTATTCCACAGACCACTCTAAGAACTCTTCAAAAACCATCAGACCGCCTTAATTCTTAATACTTCCAACAGCCAAAATGGTTAAGTTCACCGCCTCTGTTGTCGCCCTAGTCATGGCTGCCGCCGTCACGGCCGCACCGGCCCCGTCCTCTGAGACGACCTTCTCTTTCGCCTCATGGGTCGAGGACATCATCGCCAACCCTGAAACGGCTCTCAGCCCCGAGCAGGCCGTTGCGGCGGCCAACTCTGCCGCCCTCGTCTCCTCTGCTGGCGGGCTCACCAAGAGAGCCGAGTGCGTAGCCAGCTACAAGGATGCTCCGGTACGAACATTAGACTACGACACAGCCGGCCTTGGGAAGTCCATGCTAACATGTATCTCTCTCTGTGTGTAGTCCGCAGATGCTGCGGCTTGTCTTGATGATCTCGCCCGCAAGGGATCTGCCGGCACCAACTGCGTCGTTGCGCAGTCCCAAATCCAGATGTGCCGAATCGGAGGCGCTCAGCTCATCAGCACAAGAGGCAACACCGGCACATATACTGTGAACTGGTAAGTGAAACACCCGACTAGGGGCATTACATGATACCATGAACCGTTTTCCATCCAGGACAGGTGCTGACCGATGTACAGCAACGAAATTGCCCGTACCGGAGGCCTCATCTTTGACTCATGCTACCGCGCCGACAACACCGTGAAGGGCAAGGAGTACGTTGCCGCTGACAGAAACATCCAGGTCAATATCCTGGGAATCTAAGCGACTGCATCGGTGCTGTTCTCAAACCACGAGATACGCCCTTACCTAGAAGTATAGTCGACGGATTTGACTCAATGTCCCGGGGGTATCTTGAGACGAAGTGATGATGGAGGGGAATGAAATTCAGTTCATGAGGTTTGGGAACATCAACCAGTAGTTGTTATATGTATACTACTGTGTGAGAAGCTAAACTCGGCTTCTAGTACATACATCAACCAAAAAGGTCGTTGCGAGACCTCGCGGGTAATTAGTCCTTGCTGTACATCTAGCTTGTTGACGCCAACCGCCGCTTCACGATGATCCCCACAGCTTAAGCTCTTGAGGCGTGCCCAGGAATTCCACTTTCTTTTCAGAAGCTCTGAGCTATCACACAGATACAAAGCTTAGAGCACAGAGCGAATTTAGAAGATAACAAGTTGGGAATTAATTTCGTGTGACTTTATTGAAGTTGAATGCAGAAAGAGTCGTAGAGATACTGAAATAGTAGTTGAGTACCTACCATCTTAGATTGTGGAGAGCGCATGGGCGATGCGGACATTTCAAAAGTTCCGCGGCTGACTCCGTCGGAGTATTGTAACGTAGATATAATTTATCCGTGATCAATTTCAATCTAACCTTTGCTTTTGCTTTTGCTTTATTGTCGAAATTGACCTGGTTTTCTCCGTGTTTGCGATGCTCTCGGATTTGTTTCTACAGCCAATCGTGCTTTCGCATGTCCGACGGCTTGTCCAACCTGTGCCTCCCTAGTCAGTTGGCGCATTTTCTACCGATGGGAAGACAATGAAACAAGTTCTTCAATGAACCCAAGTAGTTTGATCGAGGCATGCGATCATACGTTACTTTTGTCAACGCCAGAGCTAAAGTCGCTCACACTCGGTTTCGGGTCCATAGCGAGCTTACGGAGTTCGTTGGCGACAATACGTTGAAAAAATGGATGCTATTATTCTCGCGCAAATGCCATTGAACGTCTACAGTCGTCTCGCTTTCGGCAACACATTTGGATGCAGCTGCGATTGCTTCCAGAAAGAAACACTGACTATTCAACCCAAGCTGCGGTAAACACTCTGAACAAGACGGCCATCTCGTACTGGTGCTTCTGTTCGAAGCCACGTTCATGGAGTTTCGGAGTTTATGGCAAGATCTGGTCTTCAAGCAGAGGTGTGCATAGCAGCGCCAGGTACGAGTCGGTCGGGGAATGCCGGCCAACGGCGACCCGAGATAACCGATGGCAACGGACGGGTCAAAAATGCACACTGATTCATGTCTGAGGCACTTTCATTTATTTCACTTTCTGGAGGAAATTTGACACCGGGATCAGGTGGATGAAATATCACATCAATTGCCGCTTATGGATAACATGAAGAGACGGCAAGTGGGCCCTGTTCACCCGGATTGCGGCTGTTAACAAGCTTTGAAGACATAAGAACCACTGTCTTGGCCATCGTCACTGGGCAGTTTTCTTGACTTTCTAAGCTTGACTTTCCAAGCTCGACCAACATATCAGATAGCCTAAACGGCCATGAAGGTCTATCAACTCGCGGCTTTGCTGTCCTTCGTAAGAATCAACCCGAAAAGCCTTGATCGTTCATGACTGTCTAACATGTGGGCTTTAGAGCACTTATTTGGGCGGAGTATCCGCTGCGTATTGCAACAACAGCCCATCTCTTATTTGGCAATGTTTGAGATCTGACAACTCCAACTCTGGGTACACCGCATCATGCTGTCCTGGAGGAAGTTACCAACAAGACGGCGCTGTGAGTATCCCGTGCACAAATGAAATTTTGGTCAGACTCTCACAGGGAATTTAGTGCTGCACTGAAAACTGGCAAGCTTTCAAGTCTTGCTGCACGGCGCATCCTGGTTACTGGGCTGCTAATGGCTAAGAGCAATGAACTGCTGGTCTTTTGTTAGCCATGCGCTACATCTGACGGAGAAATTTTGCGTGGTCAAATGATGAAAGGTGCTGAGCTGAAAGTCCAGGGCCAGAAGCTATGTGTGAAGATATCCGGTGAGCGGCGGACAGGAGAGCACTCAGAAGGGATCTCTGCGGACGAAGACCGTGTCCTTCTCGGCATCCGGTACCCGCGCGCCCCGAGCCTTTGATCATCAACCCCTGAATTATTACTTAGTAAACGGGTGTTTGCGTGCAAATCGAAATCAGCTCGGTCTTACAACGTTATGTCTTCTCCATTACTAATGCCGTGAACTTAGCATCAAGCTCAAATGAATTAGGAGCCACAATGATCACTCCGCAGACCCCTTGGCAGCGGCGACGAACACGATTTCAGTTTTGACGAAAGATTCTTGTCAAAATAGGGAAACATTTCGCCGAGTTCCTTCAGGGAGATGGAGTCGTGACGGGGAATCATTTGCAACTAGGCTGTAGCAACTGCGAAAACCCCCTTTCACAGATCCTTCATCATTTTCCTGGGTTGGATAAATCAGAGTGATACCTTCATCGTTTTTATCAAAATTCAAGTACTCTTCTGTTTATCTGTAGACTTTTGATCAGCTCAAGATGCGACCCTCGTCCCAAGTCTTCCTTCTAAGCCTTGTCGCTTTGGTAGGAGCGTCTCCCATGTCTCATAACATCAACACCACCCTCTTCAAGAACGTTGCTTTTACCCTCTCCAAAGGAGAGGCGGCGTCATGTGTTACTAGAGAGATACAAATTCCGATAAGTTTTGAGGCCGAGAAATGGCTTTTCGAAAAAACTACAGACTCCTTAACAGTCACCGACTTCGTTCTCAACGTCACCACGACCGACCCCAGCCGCATTTTGGACTTCTCTGAGGGAACTGCCTTGATCCAGAAGACTTACGGAATTTGGGTCAAATACTGCGTTCCCTCGTCTGGCCCGCCAAGCAGTGTCGACAGAGCTGTGCAGATTCTCACTCATGGTGGTACGCTTGATCACACTTATTGGGACTTCGCCCCTGGATACAGCTACGTAGATGTAGCTGCCCGGACTGGCATGGTCACTCTAAGCTATGACCGTCTTGGAACGGGCCTCTCCGAGCACCCTGATCCTCTTCTTGAAGTGCAAACCCCTGCTTCCGTGGAGGTGCTGCATCAGCTGGTTACCATGCTTCGCTCTGGCTCGTTCGGTCCCCAATTTAGCAAGGTGATCGGGGTCGGCCATTCAATCGGGAGCAAGGCAACTGAAGCGGTGATCTCAAAGTACCCTAGCGACTTTGACGCCATCATACACACTGGCTACGCATACGAGAATGCGGCTGGGGCTGGCAGTGTGGTTGCAACTGGACTTGGATCGCCGAAGGATGTTGACCATCTGAAACATCTGCCTGATGGTTATCTTGTGCCCAAGTCTACAGAGGGTATTCACATTTGTTTCTTCAAGTATCCCGATTTCGACCCCAAAAGTAAGTTGTCTTCACAAATACGGACAGAAACCAAGACCGGGCTGACACCAACAGTTCTCTCACAAACGGTCAGGCACATGCAGACTGAGTCAATGGGCGAGATGCTCATCCCGCCCAGCAGTTCTTTCTGGGGCAACTTGACTGTCACGAACAGCTATCGCTCACCGGTCTTGGTGATCCTCGGAGAGCACGACTACGTCGTGTGTGGGCAGTCTTGCGTCACGCCGCAAAACCTGGCCGCCCAAACCCTGGACACCGCGTATGCTAGCGCTGATCGGAACCTGAGCGAGGCGTGGATCTCTCCGGGTGCTGGTAATAATTGTCACACCCACTTGAATGCGCCCGACGTTTCGGCTAAAATGGTTAATTGGGTAAAGAACTTGGCTGGAATACTTAATACTGCTGATCGGACCAGACGACGGGAATTAGTCGGTGTGGCTTTGTAGAGCTTTGCTCCATTGTGATCATTGCCAAAAAACGTGACTTCCAACAACACGGATCTTCTTCATAGCAATACCAAGCTCTCAACTCTAATTCGTGAGTGCCCGTGATTTATGGATCTAGGAAAGTAATATACGATATTCCTTTTGAAAAAGGGGTGTGTTCTTGATGATAGGCTGATAGTTCACGAGCACATGCTGACTGCGAAAGCTTTACATGCAGGATGCCCGTCAAGCCTCACAATATCAATGCATCGTTGAACATTTAAACCTTAAAGTTGCATTCGCTATGAAGCAGAGCGTCCGTCAGTGGATTTCCATCATTGTTGTGTCAGCAGACTGCATGACTGCACATGTGAAGCTAATAAATCCGTAAATCCGAGATCGCAGAACGCATGGAGTGAAATGTAACTGATATGTAAGCGAAAGAATCATGACCTGAGTCTTTGCCTAAGCGGAGTCATAATTGACGGCAGTATTCAGTAATTAGACCGTGCGATCCGCGGTCGCTACCAAGCTGACATTTCATCCGCCGCATCTCGGCCGAATTACATTAGCTGTCCGGCTGCCAAGCAGTCAGAGTAGAGGGGTATTTCAAAGCTGTGTCTTCTCTGTGTACCTAGCGACTTCGCCTTCCGACTTTCGGATCACGATCGCTTTTATGGTTTTGAATAGCATCGGGTAAAAAAAATGAGCTCCTAAGGAACTCGCACATCATAGAAGACCACGAATGATGAAATCGTAAATGGGCGTTTGGTGCATATATACAAATCTGAAAAGTTGCATTCTTTCCTAATCTTCTGGAATTGCTTCTAGCGTACTCAAAGAGGGTGTTATAGGACAATCTTCTCGAAACTGACTTCTCCTGCAGCAGACCTTTCCATCGCTCCAATTCCCGCTTGAGCCCCCTTGACGATTGTAAGGCGAGGGATGCGCCAGCAATCTCTATGAAATTGGGCCAGCCAGTCCATCGCCACCCTTACTCGATGCGGAAACTCGGGGCTCTGAGCCCCTCCTATGAAATCCTTGTCACCGTGAGGTCTCCAGCACATGGCGTACTTGTAGGCTGGTTCGTCCGAGACAGGTAGCACGGAAACCAGCTTTAGATCCTCGGTTCTTGATTCTTCTGCGACACAGCAACGTTTGGCGAGGAAAGGAGAGCTTTCCTCGAAAGGTGGACGTTCCGCTAGAGGTAACAGGGGATCGGCTCCAGCAACGACAGCGTCGAATACAACAGAAAGATCACCAGAATCAGTCTTCTTGGCTGCTGATTGAATGTCGCGTACAACTTTGGGGTTGCTGTAGTCAAAGCATTGGGTTGCTCCGAGCCCCATAAGCCCGTCGTGATTGCGTGGCGATGCTGTAACAAAGATCGAGCCAAATCCCATCGTCTTGGCAATCTGAATCGCTGCCATCCCAACTCCGCTGGCACCACCCCAAATGAGAATCGAACGGTCGGTCGGTTTGCTTCCCTGAATGCCAGCCGCCGGAAACCCAAACTCGAGACAGTTGAGCAGGCCATCGAAGACAGTTTGGGCCACGAGGACTGTCGCGGCAGCTTCTGGAAGACCCATTCCCTCTGGCAACTTGAAGAAAGCCTGAGGTTCAGCAATTGCGAAGTCTTGGTGCGCTCCGAGATGTGCTGGCCGTTGATGTTGAGGTCTGTTCATACCGAAGACCACATCGCCAACGTGAAAAGGGGATTCGGGCCCGGGTTTGACGACAACGCCAGAGAACTCATAGCCAGCGATAAATGAGTGGAGCCCCATGAGGAAGTGCTTCTTGTCGGCTGGATTGATGCCAGAGTATTTGACGTGCACCAGTGTACCAGCACCGGTTGGCTCGTAGGTATCAGATACCTGGCGCCGTGACAATTTGCCATCCTCTCCGAGCCAGACCGAACTTCCCACTGGAGCAGCCATCTTGAGGTCGAGGACGAACGAAGGAGACGTAGATATGACAGAATTTGGTATGCAAATTGAAAGGGCGTACACCAGCCGGATATTAGCTTGTGTTTTATTGCCCAGAAAGCACATACACTGGGCAATAAAACACAAGCTAATCTCCGGCTGGAGACTTGATAACGTTGTGAGTAGGGGTGCTCATAGGTAAGTCGGTGTTGAAATCTATCCGAGTCTAGCACGTCTCGGTCGAAAATACCCGCTGAGATACGATGCGCGCACGACATCTGACATGCCGTTTCTCGGCGCTGGTAACAATTCACGGCGTCAATAGGGCCTAATTCTCTTTATATTATGAAGGAATATTGTAGCAAACGCGACACGATAAGATCGGAAGTTCCATTGCTATCAACGCTGTTGTCAACCAGTGACCACCCCTCTCACTCATCTTCGAAAGCACATTAATTGTGTAAAGTCTGAACTATTTCTCACACCTGCACATTGCATTGATGGCATTCTCAGTTGTGATGAGAAACATGAAACATGTTGATGATCTTGCGGAGAATTCAGAATTTATTTGTAAGTGACAGCTTCCGTCGTACATGGTACATCGCTTTATTCCAAGACGTGTTGGAACATGCAAGGCATCATTTGTGACTGCTCTCATCATAGTTCAGACGATTCGCGATCGCATCGTCACATGCTTTTCTCAACTTTTTTCTAAGATTACAGAAGTTGGACGGTAGCCGCTGGGAAGTAGCTTTTCTGTTGTTCACGTTAGTAGAACATACCGTTTGAGAATTCAAGGACACAAAAATAGCAGAATTTTAGCACTAGTGCTGATAAGATAAATCTGGAGTTTCACTTTCGCTTTTCAGAGACAGAGAGGGCCATTGCAGGAATTCACCAAATTTGAAGCGATATCACGGAATGTTGCCCCACTTCACGCAGCGTGCTCCCTGAACAACTAGGAGCAAGATCTTCATTTGCCAAGCTCCCAAGACCATGACTCGCGTCCGACAACCGAATATTTCATCCAAGTCTTCGACAAGATTCTTGCCGATGAGTCAACTTCAATTCTGGATCCGAGTGAATCATCATTGACATCAAGCAACTCCTTAGGGCGTGCAGAGTAGACTTTGAAGCCGGCGGGATAAACCAATCATTACTAAAAGATAACGACCAATACGAAGGTTCACGGCCGAGCGCGGGCCAGCAAACGGTCTCACATTCACATCAAAGCCGAAACCCAATTCCATTTGTGGTCACAAAGCCCGTCTTAGCGTCGGACATTGGAGATAAAAGTAGTCCGAGACCGGGGGGCGCCGAACGCGAGAAACCGCGGTTCGGCCTAACTGGTACGCCCGGCACCTCCGGACAAACGCCGTACTGTCTCATATCCCGCGCCGCCGCTCTCTGCTCCTGCCGTGCGTGACCGGCCCTTCTTTGTTCTCCATAGCAGTTGGTCTTGAGCGCTTGGCTGTGTGGTTCGGTATTCTGTCTTCCGCTCCCCGGCCGAAATACGATGCAGTCCACGTCGGAAGCCCAACGGTCGGCGTCAAAGGCCTTGTCGCTTTCTTGTACGGCATGCAGGACCCGAAAGGTTTGTTGCTGGAACTCTTGTGGATTTATGTCTCTGCGCTGATTATGCTGTGTCGCGGTCTTCCGTGGCGTAAGATGCTGACTATGTCACCGTCGTAGGTCAAGTGCGACCACAGAAGACCGGTATGCTCGGGATGCGAGAAATATGGCGGCGAGTGTGTTTGGCCGGAGAGGAAGAAGAGTATTCGGCGAGGCGAAAAGAAGTATGCACATCCGCTGACCTGATTATTGGAGTTTTGTGAGAATTTTGAGGTTCAAGGCCACTGACGTCATCATGTAGGCTCTACGAGAATATCGTCACTAGGCTTGCGCAGATGGAGCGTCTGGTAGAGGAGTTACAAGAACCGAAAGAGCCTAAGGAACCCAAGGAACCTAGTGCGCCCAAGAAGAAAGCAACTGTTGCTAAGAAAGGTCCACAAGTCTTGACACCTGAAGAGTCCTCATCCAACACAAATCCGCCTCAGCCGGCCCTCACCGCGTCGACAATTTCAACTCAAGTCTCGCCAGCTTCGTATCCACCATCACCGGCTTCAAGCTCACCGAGGACTGCGAAGCCTTATTATGCGGGAGCATCCGAGGGTACTGTTGGAACTGCTGGTATGTCTTTCCTTTCAAGATCGCAAGAGCCAATGAGGCTCACTGCCGCGTTGTTTAGGATCATGCTCGTTGTTCTCAGCCGAGGGCATCGCCAAGATCGACACCTTGGTTGGCGATACTCGTTATTCAGATGCAGTGCGTAATCTTCTGCAACAAGTAAGGAGCTTCGCTCCGAAAAGAAGTCTCGACTTTTCTTCTTCCCCGAGGGACTACCCATTCCCCCCAAATGACATTGTCATCTTCTGCGTCAACGGTAATGTTTCTCCCACTTCCGTAATGTGCCTCGTATGCCTAACCATCGTTTTCTAGAGTATATGCGGACACTCAACAACGGCATAAGGCTCTTGCAGGAGTCTAAAGTTCGCGCAGCGGTGAATGCTTACATGTACGGCCAACCTTGTGATGAGCCAGGATGGGAGCTGGCCCTGAACGTCATCATCATGCATGAAATGCGAAGGCGCGACTGGAATAGCGACAATCCCGAGCACAAGCATTATCTCAACAACGCTCTCGCTCTAATTCCGAATGCCATTCTACAGACGCCGAATCCCATGACTATTGGGTCCCTTCTCTCTCTAGTAATATACACCTCTCAGAATATCTCATGCTGCATTCATACTAAGCCGACACAGGTCTATTACTTCATATTCTCAGCCGAAAATCACATTGCTGTCTCAATACTTGCCCTCGCAACTCAGTTCATTCTCCTCGCTGGGTATCATAATCCAGACCACCCAAATAAAGTACTAGGCCATCCTGCCGATGTCCTGCATCGCCGCCGCTTATTCTGGCAAGCCTATGTCCTCGACCATGATCTCATGCTTCGCATCGGCAAGCCACCTCTCATTAGCGACGACTTTCTTCTGGAGCTTCCCGAGGAGTTTCCGACAGACGGATATGGAGTATACTACTATCCCGGCGATGTCACACTGAGCTACTTCCACCAGCAGGTTCGCCTGTCTCGAATCCAAGGACACATCTACTCAAAGCTCTACTCTCAGGGTGGAGAAATAATGTCGGCTGCCGCCTTAGAGTCTACAATCGCACAATTAGATGCGGAATTGCAGGACTGGTGGCAAGGGATTCCGGAATTGATCCGGCCTGAGCCTCAAATGGACTTGTTGGATGCTGATTACACCAAGGTGATGAGCCTCACTGTTTTGAACTTCATGTATTTTCAACTGGTTGTCGCTATCCACTCCGCGGCTTTCCGATTGCCTCTTCTCGACGAGGATGATGATGGTCTGCGACCCAGTGTTGCCTTGTGCGTGAATGCCGCGAGGGCCGCAATTGCCTTGTTGAAGCACCAGCAATTGCAACATCCATTCACCATGTGGGTACTTCATCGTCTTCTTGAAGATTATGTGCTGACTTAGGTAGTTATCTGTTGTACCAGGTGGCTTGGAGCGTCGACATCCTTTTCGTAAACATAATCGAAAACAAGACCTCGACAACAGCGTTGCAAGACCTGGAGCTCATCAAGATGGTCATCAACTTCTTTGAGAGCTACGACCCAAATTATCAGACGGTAGCTTCATATCACATCATCAAGGTGTTGTACGAAGTCGCCTCATCTGTGGTTTTGGGGTGCCCGCCAGGACCCTGCAGCCAGATTTCGGCAACAACGTCGATTCCCTGCCCGCAACTACTGGCTACGGATGCGACAAGTAGTCTCGGAATCCCTTCGACGTCTTCGCCTCGCGTACCTCCCGGCCTCGAATTCGGTGGCGATTGGGGGAATATCTCACTTGGCGGGCATGACTGGTTTTCTGCGGGCTTTTTGCAGATGGCTGATTGGGGTCTTCCAATCAGTTCGCAGTCTATGCCAGGACTCTATGAGGATACCAGTCCCTTGAACGGAAACCAAGGCTGAGTTTGTCGAATTGCTCTTGGCTTTGTTGTTGTTTGACTTTAGGTTTTCTTGTGTCTTGAGACTTGAATAATGAGGCGTTCGTCTATGACATATATGCTCTGGGGAGTTGAATCAATTGAGGTCTCTTATTTGAGGAAAGGGGATCATGTACGAATAAAAGGATGCATTGGTTGAAAGGCTACTATCGCCCCTCTCAAAATCCAATTAACACGCTGATATGAAAAAATGTTAAGCTACTTCCACGGGATCCGCGGTGATTGCGGGTATTCCAAGTCCGTTACAAGGTTTGCTTAAACTCAGTTTTGTACTAGGTCCATGGCCAAGACATTAACCATTACCGCTGCTGTCGTCTCATCAGGACATGACCATCCACGACTAGGGTGGCATCCTTTCTGGATACTTTTGATGTCGTGCTCTGGAACCGAGACCGAGATGCAGCGCTCTCAAGTATTTGAGGCTGCCAGCTTCGTCTTCCAACGAGACACTCGCGAAACATCTTACCTTTTTTTTCGCTCCTACGTACATCTTTCAGCCAGTCACAATCTTCCTCAAGGACTGAAATTCAAGAATTGCCGGAGCCGAACAAGTGGTATACATTAGTGATGAGGGTGGTGGGACCTGAGACAACTGATAATGTGTGCACATATTCGAGCTCCGGGCCATCCGGTGCTGGATTCGTGGCGAGCGCGTACACCCGAGGGACACCGCAAGTGCCTCCTATGAAAGAAGACTTCGAAAAAGAAACACCAAAAACGAATGGTACGATTCAAGCTCGTGTCAAAGATGTTAAGCTTCTGGCAAGCAGGGACACCGAGGCGATGTATCGCATTGATCTTGAGCTGCCCAAAGGATCAACGTACGAAATGGGCGATATTCTGAAGATAATCCCACCAAACATTCAACAGGTTGGTGACGGTTTTCCCCAATGCATGACGAACGTACGCAATAGCATGGCTATTTCTGGGGGCACCGTCCTATTTTCAGAGGCCGATATGTGTCAACCTACGACCCTCGAGGTAATGATATTCCTCCAAACGATTCTACGCCTAAAGAGAAGCTGACAATTAGCAGCAACTCGGGGGTTTGATTCAATGTTGTACCGACGATCATGATAGAGCGACATTCCAGGCGGCGAGAAAGAGCTTCGGCGGAGCGCCGAACCATCTAATACCGTCCGTCTCACAGCTCCTCGAAGGATATCCCAGTATCATGATTCAAGCACATCAACTAAGTGCTATACTGCCGAAACTGTCACCTCGATCGTATTTCATTTCATCATCGCCACTCGAATCACCATCCTCATGCTCGCTGATCTGCTCCATGGCCATCCGCAAGACCCGTGGTCTGAGTAATGAGGACGGCGACACCTCGATTGGCATGGCGTCACATTATCTTTCTCAACTAAGAGCAGGCGACTCTGTGGCCTGCAGTGTAGAAGCATTCAATACGCGCTTTCGACCACCCACAGAATTGAGCACACCGCTCATCATGATAAGCGATGGAGTCGGTATCGCCCCTTTCGTGGGATTTGTACTGCATCGAGCTGAGCAGCTACGCCGACGTCCGGCTCTGTGGAACATCATTGCACCAGCTTTGCTATTCGTTGGCTGTCACAGCTTGGATGATTCGGTTTACGTATCAGAACTTGGTAGCAGTGGGGTCGTCGATGTGCGGTACTCATTCTCTCGTGGAGCTGGAAACGAATTCAAAGGCGATGTGCAGGATAGGGTCTGGGCCGACGGCCAGGACGTCATGAAGCTATGGAACATCGGAGCGAAGGTTTATATTTGTGGAAGTCAGTCTGCTTGCATTGGAACAGGAGATGTCCTGAGAAAGTTGGTCATGGAAGGTATGGCGCGAAGTGAGACAAAGACGGATGGAAAGTTTCAGGCATGCTCTGATGACTTCAAGGCGAGGTGTGTCTTTGAGATCATATGATGACATGAAGGGAAGACGCGGTGATATCTACATTGAATTTCAAATACCTTCTCCTTTATTTATTTCGTCGTGCCAAGACAACTTGACTCCCTCAAAATGGCGTTGGTGCTCTATTTCTACGATGTACCCCGACTAGCGCCTTCGACGTCATCAGTATTCAACTACTGACGCTTCCTCCCTTGCATTATCCTTTGAATCTTCATATTGATTTCATACACTTCTTCCCATCAGCCGCGCAAAACCGTGCAATAGTCTAGCTCTGACAGTCGTCGATACGAGGTAGGTTACTGTTTATCTTCCGAGAAGGACTTCGGGTACTCACTAACGAAGGATCAAATCAACATGGGCAACGCGATTTCGATGTTCTTCCCTCCGTCTCCCACGTTCGTGGAGACCGATGTACCAAATCAAGCAGGTCGAGTTTTCATTGTCACAGGAGGCTATTCTGGGGTTGGATTTGAGCTGAGCCGCATGATATGGCAACGTGGCGGTACTGTCTACATTGCAGGCCGAGATGAAGCCAAGGCGCGCGACGCCATCTCTGCCATTGAGAAAGATACGACGACAGATTCAATCGTGGGCGGCTTGCGGTTCTTGAAAGTGGCTCTCGATGATTTTGTTAGTATCAAGGCTGCAGCCGAGAAGTTCTTGGCGGAAGAGGAACGCCTCGATGGGCTTTTCAATAACGCTGGGGTCTCCAATCCTCCCGCCGGCTGGGTATCAGCGCAAGGTCATGAATTGCAGCTCGCAACCAACTGCCTCGGGCCCTACTTTCTCACGAAGCTTCTAAGTCCGCTCCTCATCTCAACGGCCAGAGCCGCTGAAACAAATGGGACGGTCCGTGTCTTATTCACCACTTCAATCGCCACGCAACTCGGCGCACCAGATGGCGGGATAGATGTGAACAAACTTCTCGCGCCGACAAATGACCAGCAGGTCAACTACGCCCTCTCAAAGACAGGCAACTGGTTTCTAGCAGACCATTTTGCCAAAGAGCTGGGTCCTCGTGGTATTGTCAGTTTGGTCCTGAATCCGGGAAACCTGAAGACCCCACTTCTTCGTCACTTCCACTGGGGTGTCGGGGCTTTGGTCTCGCCCCTGCTGTATCATCCTCGGTTCGGAGCTTACACAAACCTCTGGGCTGGTTTTTCGCCAGACGTTACGCTCGAGGATGGGGGGCGGTGGGTTGAGCCATGGGGTCGATTTCACCCAAACCCTCGCGCAGACATCATCAATGCGATGAAAACCAAGGAGGAAGGAGGGACAGGGCAGGAAGCCGCACTGATCGAATTTTGCGAGAGGGCCATATCTGACTATTCTTGAGACGTATCACTTGCGCAAATCTTGGACATCTGGGCTGTCACTTGTGTATGTTTATTGACAGGACGGCCATGATAGGGTGTTAAAACTTTTTTCTTGACGTTCATTCATACTGGGATCGATGGTCTTAACGGAATTTCAACTTCCATATCTTCCGAGAGAACAATGCTTCGGGGCCACGCCAGCCATTCGTCCCATTCTGACCCTAGATATTTCGAAATGACGTTTAGGAGGTAGGCGCCTGAATCGCCAATCTGCCATAGGTCTCTAGCCAAATGCAGAAGAGCAGCATAGTGTGCCAAAATAGCGATCGCCACGGGTTTCCGTTGTACCAGCATCTCAGAGAACGCCTCTGGAACCAATAAAGACCACGAAAACACAATTTGGTACAGGTGTTTACCTCGAGTAAACATCCGAACTTGCAAATCGTCCACGGCAATCTGGACGAACTCAATAGCTCTGTGACATGCTTCCAAACACTCAGGAGATATATCCTCGTAGGAATTCAAGAGCCTAAGGATATCGTCGCAGTCGTGTCCTCGACTTCTCAAGCGACCAAGCCCCATCCCCCAAGCAACTAAGGGGCAGAGCTCTGAATCTTTGAGTAATGGCCAGCCTCGGTTGACTATGACTTTGACCCCTCTGTGGACCCGAACAAAGTTGACGTAGCAGTCCAAGAACGGACCCAAGTCTGGACTTCGAAATGCGAGAGCGTCCATGCAAAGGTGGCGGCCAAGGATGGAGGAGAAGAGTATCATTGGGACGCATGTCGTTTCGTCAACGCGAACCTTTTCGGAGTTAAACAGCATTATAGCGCGGTTCTGTAACTGTACAGCGAGATTGAGGTATTCGGAACTTTTTTCCGATGCTGTCATTGAAAGATGGCGTGCAGATAACGAGAGCGCTTCGTGGAGAAGATATGGCACCTCAGCGCCAGTCTTCACGGTTAAGCGCGTGCCCAGCTCAATGAGATGCTCATCAAGTTCTGGGATGGCCATACGGAGAGAGAAGTGTATCAACAACTTCATGTGAGCCATGTTGATTGCCACGTCCGACTCTAGCGGGCCGGAAACGTTGTCTCCGCTCGTGAGGTGGGTCAAGTCCGGGGCTGAAATGACGGCAGGGCTCCGTCCTGAAGGCGACCCGGAACTCGTATCGCCATTCGGCGTCGTCGCTCCGGATGAGCCAACAAGATTTTCATCCGGTCTCATCGGCGTGCTCAACAAGTCCGGGTCGGCAGATAATGGGAAAACACATCTTCGGCCCACAGTAACGCAGTTGGCGCATCTGGGCCAGGTCTCGTCACACTAGAGCTACTCCGTCAGCATGGAGTTGGCCCTGGTATCAACCTCGCTGCCTGAGCGTACCTTCATGTGACGTCGTTTACACTCTGCACATCCATTGCGAGATTTTTTGTGGGAGCGTCGATACGTGGTTCGATCATTCATGGCCGGCGTCAGAGGTTCTTGGCGTTGCGGGGAGGATTGAAGTCGTGGCGGGCGTAGTCCTGGAAATGCACAAGTCTATGTGAGGGTCGCTTCGTAGCCAGGACGCGCTTGTTGGACATTGGGGGTCACGAGAAAGGAAATATTCTGGTAGATAGCCTATTTGTAAAGGCCTTGGTATCATAAAATAACCGCCATAGCCACAGCTGAGCCATCATGCTCAACGTCGTATGCCCCCGCGCTAGATGCTGTGCACAAATTTCAATGCGTGCTAGGTGCAGATCGTGACCAAAGCTGACGGCTTCACACCGAAGCCCACTTTCCTATTTTGTAAATACGTGTATTCGGTGACTGCCGAGCCAATCATACTCGCTTTAGAAATCGCCCACATCTCGAATACGTGTATTCATTAAAGCCGGCTTGCTTCCGGGCCACATTTTGAAGGTGACAGCAAGTGTCGTCGTTTGCATGGTGTCAGCAGAATTTCCAGTGCATTCATTGAACCAACTCTTCGAACTCTACGCCGCACGATAAATGGCTCGCGGAACTTGTAAAAGCTGAGAGATGCCGTGTTCGAATCTGTAGGAAGGAACCCGGATTCACAAATGTCAAAAGGCTGATGAAAAACCCACTTCATAAATATCGGGCGTGATACAGTCTTGGTCTTGGTTACGATCCTGACCCTTGATGTTTCCTGGAATATCATAGTCTTGAGAACCTTAAGATTTCGTGAATCAGTGGTTCCGAGCAATGTCGACTGTTAAGTACCTAGGAAGTGAGAAACCGGTAACATGCGTGTATGATTAATCATTAAGAAACTTTTACTTCTCATATCATGAATTCTATCGGCAAGCCTGAGGGCATGAAGCTTCCCCTAGCGCGGTCATACCACAATCAACCCTTATTTACTTGGCTGCCAACGGACTCCTCCTCCGCAGCCATCCTCCATACTTGATCATTAACGGAGGGACCACGCAGATCACAGTAGCTAAGCCAGCAAATATGGTCGTAGCAATGTTGAAGTCGAGAGAGTCAAACATGATGCGACCAAACAGTGGGAATGTAGCGCAACATAATGACCGTGTAAGTGCTAGAGCCGCGAACCCGCTAGCTGCGTAAGTCTCGTAGCAGTCGGTGAGGTAACCGGCTAAGACGTGGTCGAATTCATTGACAGCGTAGCCAATTGGAACAAGAGCCAGTGTTGGGAAGATCCAGTGGACGGACACAACCTGTGGTGGGATCGTCCACGCAAACAGCCAGAGACCTCCAGCCAGTAAAGGTGCTCCAATAACAAAACCGATGCATTTTGATTCCGGTGTGATCGGAAGACAGGCTGCGGTTTTCTTGGCAAGTAAACGGGAATCATAAACTCTTGTAAAAACGCTCAAGACCATGCCGATGCCAAGTGGTAGAAAGGGAATGTTTTTCCAGCCATTTCGGAAGTCGAGCTGAAGGTAGACCATGGGCAGAACCTCCGTGAAGAGGTAAATAAGTCCAAAAGCGATTGCGCTCAGAATTGCAACCATGAACACGATGGGTTCAGTAAAGAATAGTCGAAGAGGTCGAACAAGGTCGAGCTTTTCGCGCATATTTGGGCGGACGCCAGTTTCAGAAGCCTCGATCTTGGCCAAGGCAACTGAAGGTCGCGACTCTTTGATCAGGCACAAGAGTACTGCAGCAACTCCAGTGAAAATGGCCGACGTGAAGAAGATCCATTTCCTGGAAAAGTGTCAGCCCTTTATCGCCTCAGGTATCCATGGGTCACGTATGACTTACCAGTGGAGGGATTCAATGATCAAACCGCCGAACACCGGCCCTAGTAGAATACCGATGTTGGCAACCAATGCCCATGTGAATACCCACCACACTCGCGCTTGCGTATCCCACATATCTTCAATGCTGCCCACAGCAATCACTGTCGGGACAGAAGAAAGGAGGCCCGCCACAAGACGCCCGACGATGATGACAGGAAGAGTGGGCATGGCTCCCAGTACGACGCATGAAATGCTATAGAGGATCGTGCTGATGACGTAAAGCTTCTTACGGCCAAAAGATTCCGACCATGGGGGAGTGACAACTCCTCCAATTGCTTGACCGACGAGATAGGTTGAGACCAGTGAAGCAGTTGCGGCAACTGAGCTGAGACCTGATTCCCGGTGGAGATGTTCAGAGATCGGCGCCTAATCAGGAGTGAGCATTGATCGGATGCCAAACTATCACAGGCAGACTTACTCCTGCAGTGCTAACCATGGTACTAAAAGACCCCGAGTCAGTATGATCCTGATTATAAAGAAACATTTGTACATACGTGAAGAATTCTAGAAAGATAATCAGACAAGTGTCGTACATCTTTCGTGTCTTCCCCCATTGTCGCGGATGCCCATGCTTCTGTGGAGTCGGAAGAAGTTCGCGCTGTGAGCTCGCGTAAAGAGAGGACATCTCGTAGACTTGCACAGATGCCTGAGACTCGGTTTTCGGAATCGGTGATGACATGATGGTCGTGGTCTCATCCAGACATGGTCTTGAAGACTCCGAGTGAGAAATAGGGAGAGCAGAGCCTGCCCTGCATTTCCCACACGCGACTTTAAGAATCCAACGCTTTTTGTTGTGCCCCGGAGATTGAGTTTGTCAAGGTTGTGCCTCTGGCGAAGTGAGTGTTTGCCTCTGCAGTTGGAACAACCTTGAGTGTTTCTATCTTTGTTCCAACAGTTCTCATTGTCGACCCATGAAACAAACCGCGGCCCTGCTCATAGTGGACCCCAAAGTAGGGAGTGATCAACCGGGAATCTCAGGGATTGCAAAGCAACCAACAAGGTCATCTTCGTAAAGTCTAGGAGTCTCTTGCTCCCTTTAAAGGTGCATCAGCAGCAACGCAAGCGAGTCTAGGTGTTCTCGGCAACGAGAGCATTGAACGTTCTCGGCCTGCCAGCACGCAAGCTCCCCGCAAGCTCTCAAAACCAGGCCGTGCATTCTCCTGAGTGCAAAGTAGTCTGCACGACTGGCGGCATCGCTTACTGAACTATTAGTGGTCCATTCACGAGATGAGCACCTCGCAAGAGAATGGTCGTTTCATGCGCATAACCCGAGCTGGACTCAAGCCAGGGGGCTAACTCTGTTGGCACTGGCTTCTTGGCAATTTCCAGCTGTGTGGGCTCTAGAACTCGAACCAAGCGCTAGCTCGCTTGGACGTGGCTTTGCAACTAAGCTGAGCTGTCGAAAGCGGCTATTTTCACCGTGGCCGCTAACCGCTTTTCGCGTTGATCTAAGATCGTGGCGAGTCGGCAAATCGGTTGGGGAAAGGGCAATTGAACAGCTTTCTGCCACCAACGCCGCAATGTCTTGCAAACTCAGACAAATCCCATCTCTTAGGTAATTTGTTCCCAAAGAGTTTCCCCGTGTTCAGTTCGAGCGTTTCCCCGCGATCACTCTTTCTTTGGAGTTGATCAGTGGCGCTCTTTCAGCACGAATGAGAAAGGCTTCCGGAAGCACGCTATGAGATCCACGTGGGTATCAACACCAGGCGTCAGAACCTTAAGATTAGATCATCCATCGCCCCGGGTTCTCTTTGACAGCTCTCACTTGAAGTCAAGCCAAATTTGAGCGGTTGGCTGCATGTTCACCACAAAATTCGAACAGAATCTTGCGTCATCCCATTCTCGTAGACCGAAACCACAGATCAATACGAGATTTGGCAAATCATGACATGTTCGTAAGTCCGTCATAGCCATCAAGACATACCGCGCCTTTTGTGCCGCACTTTTCAAGAATTGTGGGGGCGGACTGGATCATTTTCAAACGCAAAGCGACCAACTGCAGAGTCAGCCAGCTTGGAAGCAGGCTGAGCATGCCGATATGTACGTTGGAGCAAGGGGTTCAAAAGGGGCCGACCGGGGATAGTCGAAATTGCCGCTAATGAGGCAGTGTTCAATTCGTGCATGTTTGCCTACCGTGCCGCTGCCTTGATGCAGTTGACAACCAATGGGATAACCGGTTCGATGCAACACAGTATCGCGAAGCGAATCAGATTGGTCAGGGACTACGGGGTGAGATGTGTGGGCTCCGTCATTGCACCCAAATTCTCAGTCCAGATTGGTTCATTGATGCTGGACACTGAGACACATACGTATTTGGGGCTGTGGTTATCGGCAGGCTGACTTGGCAGATACGTGACCACTGCTGACTTTTGGCGGTCAGCTTCTCCTCAATTCCATCTCGATGAGCATCGATTTCCTGTCTTCTTACCCTTTGTGTTCGCATGGACCTTCAGGCCGTCGCATGCCGTGAGTCTTGCCCGTCGCACGACGGAGTGCTTTCGACATGGATCCGTCCGGGATCATTTGCATCATCGGTGTGGCAGGCCAAATTCTCGCAACATGTACCAAGCTCGGTTTGAACTGGCGGGACGCCCCAGACGATGCCAAGAAGTTCAAGAGCGAGATAGATGGCTTGCACAAGACTCTTTGGGAAACGTACAACCACCTCATCCAGAATCCTGATTTCATCACCGCCTTTGAGGGCAAACATTCTTCGGTCTTGTCGAGCCTGGCGGCACCATCAAACTCAGACGACTCGGCTCTGCTCTTCACTTGCAAAGAAGAGCTAGAAGATGTGCTCCAAAGCCTTCAGAAGCGACTTGGCGGGAGTCGCTTCGGATGGGAGCGACTAAAGGCGACATTTTCTAATGAAAAGACACAGTCCGCCATCGAAAATGTACAGCGGCGATGCCAAGATATCAACAGTAAGATCTTGATTGACAACACGACGCTTGCTGTCAAGACGAATCTTGAGGTCCGATCTACACGCAAAGAACTTACCGAACGGCATCTTGAGGAAAAGAAGAGGAAAATTCTCGACTGGATCACATCGATCGACTTTGCAGCACAGCAGATTGACAACCTCGAGAGAAGACAAGAGGGAACTGGACAATGGCTTCTCGAGGCTCCAGAATTTCAAGCTTGGATCAAGGAAGACCGAAAGACACTCTTTTGTCCTGGAATGCCAGGCGCTGGGAAGACCATGCTCTCTTCAATCGTCATCGAGCACCTTCAACAAGAGTTTGATGAAGACCCTACAGTTGGGATAGCCTACATATTCTGCAACTTCCGGCGACACGACGAACAAAAGCCTCGAGAACTACTCGCCAGTATCTTGAAGCAACTTTATTGGGCCATGCCAGCTGGACTCAATGACGTGGAGAAAGTTTATGAAGAGCATAAAAGCCCCACCGGCTATACTCCAATGTCGACGCCAGAAGTCATAGCATGCCTTCGGTCTGTGATATCTTGCTTTGACAAGGTGTACATACTTCTCGACGCACTAGATGAATGCCGCAGAGATGAAGGGTACCGAGATATCCTTCTCACAACTGTACTGGGACTGAACAAGACCGCCAACGTCAATTGCTTTGTGACATCAAGGCGCATACCAGAGATTGAGACCCACTTCGAAGACGCCATGTCGATTGAAATTCAGGCCATGGACGATGATGTGATGAGATTCCTGGACGGCCATATGTCTAAGCTTCCCTCGGCTGTAAGGAAGAGCAAGGAACTGCAAGACGAAGTCAAAAACGGCATTGTTCGTGCTGTGCAAGGAATGTGAGCTATGTAACTTTCCCCTGAAGCGCCTGACTCGACTAATTTCCTCTTGCTAGGTTTCTGCTGGCACACCTCCACTTGGATTCATTGCAAGGAAAACGCTCAGCAAAAGCCATTAAAGACGCCCTTGCAAAGCTTGCGAGCGGATCTTCAGCGTACGATGTTGCCTATAACGAAGCCATGGAACGTATTGAAGGGCAACTCGAAGATCAAGAGAGCCTCGCTAAAGACGCGCTATCTTGGGTGGTGTGTGCCAGACGACCACTCAAGACATTAGAATTGCAACATGCCCTTGCCATCGAAGTAGGCACAAATGAACTAGATGAAGACAATATCACCGAGCTGGAAGACATTGTGTCAGTCTGCGCCGGATTGATTACCGTTGATGAAGAGAGTGGAATCATTCGGCTTGTCCACTACACGACTCAGGAGTACTTCGAGAGGACCTTAGAACAGTGGTTACCTAATGGGCAGCGACTGATTACGGAATCATGCATCACTTACCTCTCCTTCGACGCCTTTAGTTTAGGTATATGCCGTCGTGATCTGGAAACCCGCCTTGAAAACCACCCGCTTTTCGAGTATGCGGCACTTGAATGGGGACACCATGCTCAAAGTATATCACCTCCACCGGAGGAATTAATATCCTTTTTGATGGGTAGCCAAGACAATCTCGAGGCTGCCTTTGAGGTCCCTTGGAAGAGGCATTTGATTGGAGTGGAAGGTCCCCCAACTAGCCTCTGTGGTCTTCATCTCGCGGCATACTTTGGTCTCAAAGAAGCTTTCACTACGGTTCTCGAACGGTCTACAACAGCGGTAAGTGACATTCGTTTGTAGTGTAAGTCAATAGTCGGCTAACCAGTCAGGTTAACATAAATGTTCGTGATGATTACGATCTCACGCCTCTCTCGTATGCCGCCATGGGAAGCAACGCCGGGTTGATTGCTTGGCTATTGAGCGTTGACGAGATTGAAGCGAACTTGAAGACCAAATGCTATCATTACACCCCATTAGCTATCGCTATTATTACTGGTAACATGGCTGGCATTCAATCGTTAATCGAATCTGAAAAAGTCGACCTCGACACCAAGGATGATGAATGGAGAAAGTCTCCTCTAATTCTGGCGGCGGAAAGAGGCTACGTTGAAATAGTCAAAGCTCTCGTAGAATCAGACAGGGTTGACATCAACTCGCAAAACCATTTGAAAGTTGCGGCCTTGTCAATGGCTGTTGGTAAGAAACAAGTCGATGTGGTTAAATTCCTTCTGAAAACGGGGAATGTCAACCCAAATGAACCGATGGCGATGGTGCAAACGCCACTTACTTTTTCTCTGATTTCGACTCAATATGAAGAGATAGCGCTTTGCTTACTTGATACAGGCCAAGTTGACGCCAATCTGTGTGTGGAAGGGCTCGGGGGCTTTACGCCGCTGTACATTGCTCTCCATGAATTCGGTCAAGAGCATTTAATCATTAAACTTATGCTGGACAGATTGAAAGCCATTGGAATTGACAGCGAAGCTACGCTACAAGCTACAATTACAAAGCTACAGGCAGACATGACCGTGGTGCGTACATGTCGCGTGGACACAAGAGCGAGTACATAAGATAATTTGCAGGATCTCAAATAGAGTTTTGTTGTGCGGGCGGATACTTCCAGATAGCCGGGCGGACCGTCATCCATAGCTTTTACCTATGAAGCAGGTATACAGCTGTTATTTTTAGTATCATTATTTCCGTCGCTGTTTGTGATATCTCCGACCTTATTATCATCGTCGTTGTCGTCGTAAGCATTACCATCATTGTGACTATAAATTACCGGTTACAACTTTAGTGATATCCCATCCATCTGGACAATCAAAGCTCTCGAGTATCACACCGTCGGGTACCAATCAAGACACATACGTAATAAATGCCATGATTACTAAGGAAAGTCTGCAAATTCTAATCTCACACCTAAAACCCACATTTGAAATCCAGAAAATCAGAGAACATCTGAAGAATATGACATCAAAACTCCCAATCCCAATGATTCCAATCTCTCTCTCCCGTCTTCCCGGCCTCATCTCTCTTCCGTCCCAACCCATGACCGCAAATTTCCAGGCGGTTATACCCCTCTCCATAAACCATAGACACACTCATAAAAACATGAGAAAGAACACGAAACAAGGAAAAGAGATACAGAAAGATAATGAAAAGGAGACCCAGCATTGTGGTCTGGTCGCCCTTGTGTCCCGTTGTACCAACCAACCAACCACCTTGTGCCATTCCGTAGATACGCCTTCTCCCATCTGTTCCCACATCATGTTTGTTTCCCGTATGATATAATAGATAATTATATTTCCCTCTCGTCGTCATCGTCCTGTTCCCTCCATCGAACAATCTAAGTAAGAAATAAGGAAATAGCTTTCATCATCTTCATGCAGTACTGTGACCGTTTCGTTTGTGTGTTGTAGATAAAATGAACAAGTCAAAGAAAAAGGAAATGCTGCGCTCTTACACTCTCAAAATCCAAACTATCTCTCATCCGTCAATCTAACTGCTCCAGTCGAAGCCAACGCAAAGCTTGCTCTTCTTGCAGACAGCCTTGGTCAGCGTCTGGATGCTACCACTGGACAGCAACTCCAAGACCTGCATGTTCGCCTCGAACTCGCGAGTAATGAAGTTACGGATCTCGATGGCAACGAGCGAGTCGAGAGGGTAATGCGCCAAGCTGCGGGTGATGTCGAGCTCTTCCGTCTCCATCATGAGCACAGCGGCGATCTTCTCGACTAGGCCGCGGCAGACGACATCCATGGCCTCGGTCTCGCTCCGAGACGCCTTGAGCGCGGCGTTGAGTGATACAGCGCCGGAGCCGGCCTCGAGAGCGGCAAGCTCCTCGGCAGCGAGGCGCATGCCCTTGAACTTGGCATCGGGCGTCCAGAAAGGCTGGACGGCGGGCGTGATGCGCATACCGGTGATGATGTGGTGGTTGGCGACAGAGGTCTTCCCAGAGATGGAGGCACCAAGGAGGGCGAGGACCTCGGCCTCGCAAATGGTGTCGGAGCCCAGGTTCTTCATAATCTCAGCAGCGCGCTCGGCGTCACCGTCGGCGACGTAGCCGGCGTCGGAGACGGCGGTGAGGTCGAGGGAGACGGCGGGGAGACCGTTGGCGAGGCGGTGTTGGACGAAGGCGTTGAGGAAGCAGTTGGCAGCGGCGTAGGCGGCTTGTCCTCTGTTACCGACGGCACCGGCAGCGGAAGAGATGGCGACGAAGAAGTCCAAGGGGATGGAGCGGTCCTGCAGGGCGTGGTGGAAGTTCCAGGCACCCTGGACCTTGGACTCTGTTACTTGAGTGTAGTCGCTGTAGGTCATCTTCTCGAAGAGAACGTCCTGTGAAGTTGTTAGTGGTTGTATGAATGTGGGGAGTAGGTAAGGGACTTACGCGAAGGACCATGGCACCGTGGATGACACCGCGGACAGGAGGCAGGCCCTTAAGACCAGAGTTGAAGAGCTCCTCAACACTGGCGCGGTCGGCGACGTTGCAAGAGCGCACGGTGATGTGGGCACCCTCAGCAGCAGCCTCGTCAATAAGCTCCTTGACCTTGCCGGTGGCAGAGCCGGAACGGGACAGGAGGACAAGATTGCGAGCACCGTGGGCGACCATCCATCTGGACATGGAGCGACCGAGACCACCGGTACCACCGATGAGGAGGTAGGTGGCATCAGCCTTCAGCAGGTCCGTCATTCCCTTGGAGGGGGTGGCCATGACGACATCAGAGGCGCTGGGGACGACGACCAACTTGCCAGGACCCTGGGAGGTTTGCAGCGTCTTGAAGGCAGTCTCCATGGTGGAGACAGGGAAGACGGTAGCAGGGTCGATGGGGCGAAGCTCATCGTCAGCAAGGAGCTTGGCAACATCCTTGACAAGTCTCTCCATGATCTTGGGCCTCTCGGCGGCAAGGCCGAAGATGTCAACGCTCAAGAAAGAGGCGTTGCTGTCGGTCTGGCCCATGTCGAGGCGGGTGGCGCGAGAGCCATCCTTCCTCCTGACATCGACGAGGTAACCGAAGCGGCTGAGACAAGCCCAGGATTCCCTAAGGGCATCGGCACCAGGGAGGGTGTTGAGGACGACGTCGACACCCTCATCGTTGGTCGCACGGCGGACAGCGGCTCTCCAGGTGGTGTTGCGGCTGTAGAAGATGTGATCCTCAGGAACGTTGTAGTGCTGCATGAGGAGCTTCTTCTTGGCGGCGGAGCTGACGGTAACGAACACCTCAGCGCCAATCATCTTGGACAGGCAAACGGAAGCCTGGCCAATGCCACCACCGGCAGAGTGGACGAGCACACGCTGACCCTCGCGGAGACGAGCCTGCTCAACCAAACTGTAGTAGGCAGTGCAGTAGGCCAAGGGCAGGGTGGCAGCGTCGACGAAGGACATCTTGGGAGGGATGGGCATAATGCTGGCGGCCGTGGTACGAGTGCGGGTGGCGTAGGCACCGTGGGTGATGGTGAGGGCAGCAATGCGATCACCGACCTTGTGCGACTTAACAGCGGAACCAACGCGGGTGATGATACCGGCAGCCTCGACACCAAGGGCGTGCTTATCGGCGTCAGGGATCTGTCCCTTAGCGAGCATGACATCGCGAACGTTCATGCCGACGGCCTTGACCTCGAACTCGACCTCTTCGTCACCGAGGGGCTGGTTGACGAGGTTGTCATCGACGAAGTGGACGGTCTCGATGGCACCAGGAGTGGAGAACTCCATTCTCAGGTTGCGATCGTCCTTACCGAAGGGCTGAAGCTCGACGATGCTGGGGTTGGTCTCGCGGTGGACAAACTCGTTCATCTCCTCATCGTGGATGATGCGGGGAGTGAAGAACTTGCCGGAGCGCTCCATAAACTCAAGCTCACTGGTGGAGGAAGCGTTGGTGTTGAAGGCCAGCTTGAAGATCTCGTAGATAACGGCGGAAGCGTCATCCTCGTCCAGCTCGTTGTTGGCGTCCAAGTCGAGGGTGGCGAAGGGGAGAACGGACTCGGAACGGACGGTTCTGCTGAGACCGACAATCATGTTGGACTCAGGAGAGGTGGCCTTGTCGTAGGCACCGCGGACAACCCAGAGGCAGCCTTGAACACCGGCAATCATGTTGCGGATATCAGCGAACTGCTCCTTGGTTGGGTTCGCAAGGAAGGGCTGCTCGATCTCGGTGAGAACGACGCAAAGCTTGCCCTCGGTGTTGACCTCGTGCAGAGCACCCATCTCGGGAAGTCTGGAGGTGGAGCTTGCCAGAGCGATGGCAAGACCATTGGCCAACATCTGCTGGGAGTTGGACTCGCCGTGGATGATGGCAACGTCAACATCGGGGAGAGGAGCATCGACCTTGACTCCGTTGGAGGCGTTCTTCTTGCCCTTACCGGACAGGGACTTAAGGTCGCCAATGTTCTCCCACTCGAGCTTGTAGCAGAGCTCGCGGGCAGGGTTGTTGCCAAGATCGGTCTGGCCATCAATGATGGGAGAAACGGTGAGCTCGTCAATCTCGATGACAATGTCCTTCTTCTCGTTGGTGGCGAAGATGGAGACCTTGGTGGGACGGGCCTCGGTCGCGGAGAAGTCAGCCTTGGCGTAGGCCTTGAGAGAGCTGCCAGCCTCCTTGGTGAGGGCAGTGATGTCGCGGGAGATGCAAAGTCTCGCGATGGAGGACGGGAGGTAAACGGTGTTGAGCTCAGTGCGACCAGCACCGAGGATGGGCCAGTACATCTCAATGAGAGACTCCAAGAAGGTGGGGTGGAGAACAGTGCTGGTCATGTAGTGGTTGGGCATGTCCGCAATGATATCAGCAGATGAGATGCTTCCGTGGGAGAACTTGTTGGAAGACTTGCAGGCCTTGACACCCTGGAAAGAGGGTCCGTAGCCAACACCAAGGTCAGTGAGGCGCTCGTACATCTCAGTCTCGTTGACATCGACAGCGTCGGGGCCCTCGCTGGCCTTGATGGTGGCCTCGGCACCGCGGAGAGCAGCAAGCTTCTGCTCCTCACCGTCGACCTCGTTGGTCTCGGTGCCGTGGAGAGCAATGAGACCGACGCAGTGCTCAGTCCAGCCACTGCCGTGGCTCCAAGAGCAGATGCGGAACTCCTTCCAGGTCTCAGAGGCACTGAGGTTGGTCTCCTGGTGGGGGCGAAGGTTGATGGTCATCTCGACGTCAGTGTCGTTGAGAGCCAGAGGCTTGATGACGGAAATGTCTCTCAGCTCGAACTTCTCAAAGGAAAGCTCCTTGCGCTGGGCCCACTGGGCGGAGGCCTCAAGGGCCATGGCGATGAAGCCGGCCATGGGGAAGACAGTCAAGCCCTGAATCTGGTGATGACGCAGCCAAGGGAGATCGTCCAGGTGAACAATGTTTCTCCAGGTGGGCTCCAGGTCGCTGGAGTAGATAGCCTCAAGACCGATCAAGTCGTTGCGAGGCGACTTGCGGTACTTGTGCATCTGTGTCATGCGCGACTCTTGCCAGTACTTGTTGGAGTAGTTCCAGGCGTAGCGGGGCAGATCGGTCAACAGTGACGGCTTCTTGCCGGGCTTAGGGAAGTTGATGGCGTCCATGTTAAGGATAGCACCCTTGAGAATGACACTGCTGGCCACCTCCATAGCAGACTCGAC